TCCTGGCAATGCAGCGCAACTAAAGGTAAATTGTGAAAGAGGTCATAATACGCTAAAAATATATTGTAAATTTTGGGTTATTCAGTACATTTGGCCAAGATTTCTAATGATTCTATATACATGTTTTTCTTACCAATTTGACAATAATTTTGTTTTTCTTTTTGTTTCAGGTAAGCATTCAAACGTACTCTGATGATAATTTGAATAAAGTAAGACTATTTTATCATATTCTATCATTATTGCTGCTCTCATTTGATTTAATTTCAATGATCAATGGTTAAAATAAATCAACCAGTTTAAACTTTATTGAGCTAGGAATAATTATTTTATTTTTAGTTTTTTTTATAGTTTAGACAATGATATTAGGTTATATGAATTTTTGTGGTCAATAAAGATCAAGTAATGCTCAAAATTGTGCCTAGTTTTTTTGCAGTTTCCTATTGGATACTAAATTATTTGCCGACAAATAAAACATCTGTTTTGAAACAACTTTGCTTTTTTTCTACACATTGACTTGAGTTTGAGTTTTTTTAGAAAGTTTTGGAATACTACTAAAGTTAAACTGATATCTTTTAGCTTTACCCTGTGGTCTTTAGAATAGTAATCGTTTGAGAGGAACCGATGTTTTCTAAGAACATCTTGACAATATGAAGGCAGCTTCCACGATTTTCAAAAGATCATTGCTTTTTTAATATGTAGCTTATGCTTTTCTTGAAAGTCAAAAAATTGCGATACAATGTTGTTTTATTGCTAAGGACTCTTATTGTGAATATTCCAGGTCTAATATGTTCTTAAAAGCTATTTTGTTCATCTATAAATAAATTCCAATGTTTTAGATGCCAAATCAATATTAAGTTAAAAATTAATAAATAAGTTAGACTTATTGGTGTATAACCATCAGGGTCTAGGCAAGGTTTTGAAAAATGGAAGAAGAATGAATTTTCACCAAACAGATTAAATTGAATAACTAAAGCATATAGATTTTAGCAAACCGGAAAAGTTGTTCTATGAAAACATTTGGAATATTGTTAGACCTAAAATATATTTCCTTTAAATTGTTAAGTGAGTTGTTTAGTTGTTGTAAAGTAAGAAAAATGTTTAATGGAATGCTAACGTTTTCTTCTCGTCGATATCATTTGTATTTTTTGTGTACTTAGATATTCTTCCTCGTTATCTAAATTTATTTCCAGGTTTTCCTGCTTATTCAGTAATTGTTTTTATCCATTTAAACCGTATTTTTCATTCATTGTAGTTTTTCCATTTTAGTATCTAATAGAGGTTTAAGAGTGTAAGCGCAAAATTTCGGGCCAATGCTTTTTAAATGCATTCATTTTTCTCGAATCCTAAGAAAACTAATAAATATTTTTGAAAAATTTAAACGCAGAATGAAAGAATACATTATTACCGAGGGCCGAAATTCCCTTAGGATAAACAAAAAGTTTGTTTGAATGAAATATTTGAAATTAAAAATCACACTAAATTTTGTCTTCTTTTTTACCCCTCTAACTTATTAAAATAAACATTATAAAAGTTTTCAGGGACTTTCGGCCCTCAGTAATAATATATTCTTTCATTCTGCGTTTATATTTTTCCAAAAACCCTTATTAGTTTTCTCAGGATTCGAAAAAATGAATGAATTTCAAAAGCATTGGCCCGAAATTTTGAGCCTCGCTCTTAGCAATATTCTTTTTTTTTATTTTTTGCTGCCCGATATACACTCGATTCATTCTAGAGTCTCTAATTTTACAAACAATAATTACGTATGTTAATTTAATAGTACCCTCGTATACAAGAAATAAAATAATATTTTTAATATTAAAAAAAGAGGTTAATCTTAAATTAAGATTAAGAAAGAAGCCTAAAGAAGGCACAGAGGTGGCAAAGTCAAGTAAACAAGGAAACCTGAAAAATCACATAAGACACAATAAACCAAATGCAAAAAAATGGAAATGAAAGATAAGCACACAACAAACATTGCAGAGCTTAGAAATTGAAACAAAACCACTTTAAAAGTCGCTAGGAAAGACATAAGGAACTTTAACACTAAGAAATAGCTAATATCATAGAACAAATCACAAGCCTATAAGTTCTAAAAAGGAAGTTGAATACAGTAGCGAGAAATATTTATAAGTTAAAAATTAAACAACGACATGCCATATATGAATAAAAAGAAAACATCGAAGAGTACAACAGAACATATATTCGAGATGCTCATATTCCAGAGATAGAAATCCCAGCAATACAAAATCAAGGATCAGAGAAAGTTCCAGATATAACCAAAGAGAAATCAAACCAACGTTAAAGGGTATCAAGAACAAAAATACACCTGGAGAAAAGGTATTTTTTTGTAAGTTATATTATTGTAAGTTAAAGTGAGTGAAAACTAAGAGGCAAATGCATCGTAAAATTGAAAAATTATGTATAATGCCTAGCTCTTTGAAGAAATTACATCAGAAAAATAGACCTGTGGCATTATGATCATATTGCATAAAAAAGGAGCTGTAAAAAATTGAAGACTACGGACCTATCACCTTGTTATCTTATTTATATAAGCTCTTTATGAGAATAATTTCTAACAGACTGTGACCTAAACTAGATTCTTACCAAACACTAGAGCAAGCCGGATTAAAGAGTAGCTTTGGATCGAATAAGCAACTACAATAAAATCCTTGATAGAGAAAGTTATATAATACAACAAGCCATTGATATTAATATTTGTAGACTTTGAGAAAGCATTTGACTCAATCCAGAATAGCTCAATGTTGAGAGCACTTACTGAGTTGCAGTATTGATCATAGGTACACATCTCTTCTTCGAAATGGAGTCAACATTAATAATGGGGAGTTTTTGATCAACTTGAGGTTTACAGACGACATAGTCCTTATTGAAGACCGGGTAGGTCATGCCTGTCAACTTCTTCAAGATCATTAGATCTCTTGTGTAGGTACCAGTTGGCCTTAAAATTAACTTTTCCAAAACACAATAAATGACCAATCTTGTACTGGCCAAAACATTTCAAGTAATAGCACGCAAATTAAACAAATTGATACCTATAAGTATCTGGACCACGAGATTAAATTAGGAAGAGACAATCAAACAACAGAGTTAAACAGGAGAATAGGACTAACATGGACAGCTTACGGAAAACTGAAGGAAGTCTTTAGATCAGATATTTCCATGTGCTTGAAAAGCTTGATTTTTGAAAGAAAGGTGCAACGCAAGATATTAGGAGCGGACTGTGAGAACGGAATATGGAGGCATAGATATAACTTTGAAGTGCAGAATATCTACAAGCATACGTTTGGTGGTAAACATATTAGCACTATAATTAAGCGAAACCGCCTGCAGTGGGCAGGACATGTAGCCCGGGCCCCTGAATCGAACATGATGAAAAATATTCTAACAGCGGAACCCGTGGGAATAAGAAGACGGAGTAGACCAAAGCTGAGATGGATGGACGGGCTAACACAGGATGCCAAGAAGATCGGAGTCGGTAACTGGAAAATGCAAGTAAGGGACAGAACAGAATGGCGTAGAAAGCTTGAGAAGGTCAAGGCCCTCTAAGGGCTGTAGCACCAAGATGATGATGATGATGATGAAACGCTCAATGTGTACTTCCAGTTCTAACGTATAAAGATGAAACACTGACCTATACCAGAACAGTAATCAACAAGATACAAGTGGCACATAGAGCAATTGAAAAAGACTGTAAGACTTGTACACACTTCTAAATAGGTCTAACTGGTAAGCAGTTACACACTATCAATTTTATTGAAAACATACAAAACCTGCTTACCAGTTAGACATAGAGTAATGGCCACAAGAGTCAATGTTGAATATATCCCTCAGAGTTTTAAATCAAATAGTTAGAAGAAAAACTGGTGTTACGGACGCAGTTACAAGAATTACAATGCCGAAATGGAATTGGGCAGGACTTATTGCCATAGTCAGAAATGGAAGATGGACCAAGAACATTTTAGAATGGATACCTAGACACGATACTTATCGTAATCGAGGACGTCCTCCAACAAGGTGGTCAGACGATACCAAGCGCATCCAGCACGACTGGATTCAAGGTGCTTAAAATCGGATGATAAAAGGTTAATGATGATGAATATCTAAAGAATAGTATGAGCAGATAGTGCTGTAATGTTGGATTTAGATAGGAAAGCACCAAGCGATCTCAAAGAGGTGTGAAACATGTACTTGCCTTCTTGTTTTTTATGTTTTTTTTTTTTGAAAAAACAAACCTAGATGCTGGTTTCCACAGGTTTCAAACATACCTTCTGTTGTTTATCAAATATTTGATTTCGTTGTTAATTACTTACTTTGCTCCAGACAATAGTGACTTTAGACTTTCCCTGATTATTGTCGTATTACACGGTTTTTGTTATTTGCATTTCATTTTCCTTTCAGGATTAATCTATTTTTGATATATCTTCATTCTACTGCTATAATTTCAAATTGAAATATTGCTATCAAATCTCTTCATATGAAAATCATGAATGTGTTGCTTGTGTGAGTTCATTTCAAATAGGTAAAGAAATAATAAATAAGACTTACTCACAATCAATATTTCTTCTATATTTATTATTTCTTTACCTCTTCATATGAGTTATTTGGACTATCATCTTTTTTATCTGCCTTTTATTTCTATAAATTTCGTTTTCGTAGTGGTCCTCAATGAGGTAAATTCCTCAAATTTATCACAATATGATTTTCTACTTAATGTTTTACAAAAACAGTGTATACACGAAAATGTATAAACATTTTTTTATTTTATTATATTATTGTATATATTCAACTTAGATTTATTAATGAGAATTAAACACAATTAAAAAATTGCAAATACTTTATTTTGACAGTTCGCCCTCCAGATTGGAAGCTGTTTTGAAAATATACAAGATGTAATAAAAAATTAGATGTTATTACATATGAACAAATTTTACTTCTGAATATCAGAAATCCAATATTCATATTTACATTTTTTTTGCTGCTTTTTATGCATCTTCACAACTGTCGGTAACGCACTTTGTTGTCGCAATTTTCTTAAATAACTCTACTGACTTCTTTGCTGTCCTTGGTCGATCTGCATTTGAAAAGTCTACCTGGTAGAGTCCAAAGCACTCACTGAAAACAAAAATACAACAATTATTTCACTTTAAATAAAATATTTTGGATATTACTTTAAGACTAACTATAAAGTTACATATTGCTGCTTTCGAACAGAACTAGTCTATGTCCAAAATCACAATTTTTCAGGAGAGAAATTTGAAGTTTATCAGAAGTTTAGTTTTCCATTATTTTGTTTTTCAAAGATTAACGTTTACTTTGTGCATACTTTTCAATTTATTCAGAAACTTTTACATTACTATAAAACTATTTTTTTTTGTTTCATTGTTTTAATAAAAAATTAGGTGGACATGGACTAGTGCTGCATCAGAATTTTTAGTGCAGAAGTAGTTTATCTAGACTTATGCTAGTTCTACACTAACAATATTCTTCATTTTTAAGATAACACGCAGTTGCTATTTAAGTAAACAAGAATGAAGGAATGATTAAATAAACTACTACTGTTCAAAAAAAATACAAATATTTTATTATCATGTCGCTAATTACAAAATAAATGATAAAAACAGTGATTTCTTAAATTAAGTTATTTGTACTAATAGGTAAATTTTTAGCATTCATCATTTGCAGGTCATTATGTACTGACAAAGTTTTTTTTCTTGTCCTACGCTCAGTATTGCGCTTCCTACGCTTCTGCCACTTGACCTTTTCTCCATATTCATTTTTGTCTATTTCGGTACAAGTATGTTTTCTGAATTCAACAAAATCGTAAAATTCATTCAATAAGATACCTGACTTGGCACGTATATAGCAACATTTTTTGATGCCCTCTCAATATTACTATGTATACTATCACCTTCGTTTTGGATATGTCTTTTTCCACGAAAAAGTGTGAAATTTAAACTTATATTTAACAGCTAGATCTTTATACATCACGACAATATTTCTATTGAGATTTTGTCCCCCACAGTTGTCAGAAAAAAAACATTTCTTGTTTTCTTTCATCATAGCCTTTTCTTCTATTAATTTTTTAACACAGAAAGCTACTTTATTGGATCCTCTGTGTCCTTTTGTCTTATCCCACATGTAACAATAACCTTTTTTTTATAAAGATCATAAATACTCAGATTGTAAACAGAAAGCCTTTTACAATCTTACAACTGAGATACATCTAAATGAGGCCTTTGAAGAACTTGTTACATATCAAAAACTACTGCAAAATAGGTATCATCATTTTCACATCTCTTCTTTGATTTTTCTTATGTTTCTCTTACAAGAACCTTATTCTTTAAATGGTCTTCAATTAAATCTGTTATTTCATTTATCTGTTCTTCATTGCTGTTTTTATGTTTTTCGCATAGGTCACACAAATCCTTTTTTGGTTAGAAGAATACAAGGTTAAAATTTGTGTTGAGTAAAGATCTATACATTGACAACTTAGCAACTTGTTGAATATTTTTATTCACACAGTCTTCTTCATATAAATCATCATTTTTTTATATTAAGATTTGAATCTAAATATTGCCTCTGTGTTTCTATTCGGCAATAATGGCTTTCTACCCTTGGAAACATTGATAAGATCCATCACTGACCGTTTTATTTTGTCAAATAATTTTGTAGTATACAGACTTTTTCCTCTTTGTAAAGGAATGTTTTCCTCCTGAATGTATTCAGGAAAAACATTTTACAAACTCTTCCTTTTTTTTCAGAAGTACAAAGATAATAGAAATAAGACATAGACCTACGACTCTCGAGCGCATAATAGGCTTCTTCGCCTCTACATTATTTATAATAAAATTTCTCCGGCGGTTAATGTTGCCTAGGTTCCAGAAAGTATCCAATGTTATAGTACGTTCTTCCTCTGTAAATTTTGAAACACAATTAAATCTACAAATATTGCACGGGGCTTTCTTTGTTCTTGCTTGCACTCTGTTGCCTTTCAAGTTTATATACTTTTTTTCCCAATTCCTCTTACTTTTAATCCCTACGCCATGATTCTTCTGACCTTCTTTTCTTTCTGGACTTTATGTTTTCAGAATTAGATGTATTTGGCAAGTTATGAACATGTCCGTCCACAAATTTAGTTTCAGTCACAGTCTGTGGTCTGTAAATGGTAATTATAAAACTGTTGTTCTCAATATATTTACAAAAACCAGACTAGCGCTGCCATGATCTGGCTAGTGCAGAACTAGTCTATCTCCTGATATACTAGTATATTTGATTTAAATTAACTTAGATTAGAAGAGAACTAATAAATGTTGACATACACTACTTCTGCACCAACAAAATTAAGATAATGGACATAGACTACTTCAGTATTATTTGAAATGCTTAAATAATTTTAAAACTAGACTTGTAGTGTTTCTGCAGTAAGTACCCACTGTAATAAGAAAAGTTTGGGTAAAAAAAAAACAGCAAACAGCCAATTTTGGACATAGACCAGTTCTGTTCTAAGGCAGCGATATATAGACCAATCATGTGAGTAAAAAACAATAATTTTTTCTTCATAACTGTATAAACGGGTTTGACAGTTGAAATGTGTATTATAAGATAATACAAAAAGACTAAACTAGGGATTCATCAATTTTTTAATGGAAATATTTTTAAATAAACAATCACAACGCCAAACTCATTATTTTGTTATATTCATAACTTAAAAACTTGTCTATTTAGAGATTTGACGTCAACAGACAGCTGTTTCAGAAAAAAATAGTAATAAAAAAAAGATACACAAAATGAGATATTTTAAATTAAAAACCGTTAGTAAACAAAAAAGTTATTGCAAAAATAAACAAATAAATTTTGCAAAAACTGTTTAACCGATCTGACCCATCTTTTCACACAATTCAAACCCGATAAGACCATCCATTTCAGGTACATTTGAATAAAATATTTTATTTAAGCAAATAATTGTAATAAATAATGAATAATAGTCCAGTCTTCAGAGATTTGCCCCTAAAAATCATACAAACAGGCTGAATTTTACAGAGAATATCAATTTCGAGACCACAAAAAAGATGCAACAAAGTTTACCACTTTAATCCTCGGGCTACTTCCTAAAACTCCCTGTAGGGATAAAAATGCAAAAAAAAATGAATTTACTAAGAATCTGCATCCAAGATAATTTTGAACAAAAATGTTTATTAGTACTTTTTGTGTAGAATGAACTGTTTTCTCAGAAACAACGCTTAAAGCGATCGGCGATTTTCAATGTCAGTTGCGCGCGCGATATCATGTTAAATATAATTTGTATCAACTAGACGGTAAAAATTCGATATCTTTTAATCAGAGTTTCTATCGACAAATTTCAAAATGCGTTTAAAAGGTGAAGAGTGTAGCTTTTGAATGAAATTTTTGTTTTTGGTCACAAATAAAGTCAGCTACTATATATCTGTTCAATAAACGTTGCACGATTTTTGACAGCTTTTACGATTCTCGTGTTATCAATAAAATGTATCACTTTCATTAATAAATCGTAGTAAAATTTCTGTTCTTAGAGACCAATCCTTAAACATATAACACGAAATTTGAATTTTGAGTTGTGGCAACAAATATAAGGCATTTGAAATGTGACTAAAAACACAGAATTTAAACTTTTACATTACAAACGATCGCACGTCACGAAAAATGCCTCCAAGAAAGTGGTTTTGGGTGTAGTTTATAGCAAGTTAGGTACTTTTGAAAAACGTACTATTGTAATTGAAAAAGAGCAGTTTTAAATCGTTTGTAGTGTGAAAGCTTTAATTCAGCGTTTCTAAGCATATCTAAAATGCTTTACATTTGTTGCCTAAATTCAAAACTAAAATTGCATGCTATAGGTTTTGAATATTAAGCTCTACTAATCGAAACTTCTTAGTGGTCTGTCAATAAAAGGCACAAATTATATTGATCTTATGAGAATCATAAACAATAGCAATAAATCGCGTCACGTTTATTTATTGAACACCTTTATAAAAACTGAATTTATTTGCGGCAAAGTACAAACATTGCGCAGGCAAGCTGCACTCTTTAAAATAGGATACTCGAATGAAAAGAAATCGAATGTTTTCCGTCGAGTTGATACACATTTTATTGAACATTGATTTCGCGTGCGTAACTGACTTTCAATTTTGCCGATAGCTTCCAGCGTTGTTTCTGAGATAACGGTTTATTCCACACAAAAATGTTGTTCTAAAGCTATTTTCTTGTTGCATTTTAAATTAATTACTATTTAACTGGGAATAAGCCACAATCAAAGATAAAAATACGTTTATTGACGTTTCAATTTCCACTTCGGAAATCGTTCTCAAAATACAAACAGTAAATGAATCAAATTTTGTTTTTTGTTACATAGCGAAAAATTATTCTAATAATTTAAAATAATAATTCAAAATTCAAATCAAATCACAATATTAATGTAAAAAATTTACATTATTTTTTATTAAATTAAATATTTTTATTAATATTTTAAATAATTATTAAATATATTATTATACGGGAGTAATTAAATCCTTATACGATAGAGCCAAAATTACTTGTTTTAACGAAAATTCGTTCTTGGAGAAGAAACATTTGTTAAAATCTGTTTTATTAAAAAATGATTATCCTTTATCGTTTATAAATAAGGAATTTTCAACAATCGATCGAATAGAACAGAACAACTTAGAACGAGATCCTACAGCATACACAAGGAATAATACGAGGAAAATAACAATACCGTACATAAAAGGATTATCAGAAAAACTTAAAAGGATAGGAAATAAATTTAACATTCCAACAACATTCAAAATAACAAACACGTTGAGATCTATTTTGTCCAAAACCAAACCTAACAATGAACAAGAAAGGACAAAGAATTGCATTTATAAAATACCTTGTGAATGCGATCAGTTTTATTTAGGTGAAACATCAAGGCCATTAAATGTTAGAATAAGTGAACATCAATCTTATATTAAAAATAAAGAATTTGATAGATCTCAAATATGTAAACACGCATGGGATAGTGAACATAGGGTTCAATGGAATAATTCAAATGTAGTCCTAAAAGAAACGGATGGTAAAAAAAGGAAAAAACAAAGACGCGGCTCTAATTATGCTAAATGAGGCCAATTTTGTCGCAAATTCCTCGGCAGAATGTAGTAGGATCTGGTTACCAATATTGAAAGAGGAAGTTATTAATAAGAAAATACCAGTATTAGTAAGTCAGTAACATATAGAGGATACATCATTTATGTTTTTTAATTAACGAAACATAAAATCAGAATTTTGGTGTTTATTGAAGGTAAACTAAATGCACGAACAAATACTTACCATGTCAGGATAGTATTATGAGGTTTTTTCCTGGTTTTTCCCAAAATAAAAAATAAATAATATTTTCAATTTTATTTTCCGTTGTCCGTCAAGATGTAAGAGAAGTTCGGCATATGTTTCCGAAACCCCTGTTAAGGGAAATATTTTGTTTATACCTTTTATTTCGTCACACATTTGACTTGTATTTTCTGCATCTAATTAGAGTCTCAGTTATCCTGTTGGGAGTCCCAGTTAGTCCTAAGTTATGCCTTGATTGGGAGTCCATTGTTATCCCATTGTCCAACGCTATTACATTGATAATTCATTTTTATCCCGATTTGGGAGCTCAAGTCCCCTTGTATCTGAGTATAGAACACTCTTTTATTCAAGATTCCACTGATACTAAGGTCTTCATTTAGTTCATCTAATTAACAGCTTTATCTAGTGCGATTTCTTCTATTCTCAGCCGATTCAAGTGATGTTATGTTTCAAGTGCCATAATAGAAGATTAATTCGAAAAAGCAAAGGCTGGATTCTCAAAGAAACTTCCCCCTCAATAGAATTATACTGCTACGTAGCATTCAATCATGAGTTTAGGGTGGTTTTTTGTTATTCAATAATAGCAAATGGAAGGGATGATAAAAATAGTTGGGTTAAGATATGCAGGGCATCTAATAAGGTCGAGTAAATACTATTTTTAGAAAGTAACCTTATTATCCATGCCTATTGAGGCCAAGGCCAAGATTGAGATGAAGATATAGATATCAAATAAATTGGTACTAGTGCGACAACAAATTGATATGTCCGTATTATGGAAAAATGTATTTCCCCATATTATTATTGGGTTTCTTTTTATTTAACTATAATATACTTACGAATATCCTCTCATCCATTCGAAGTTATCCATCAAACTCCAAGCTGTGTATCCAAAAACATTAACGCCATCGTCTAGGGCATCTCTAACGTTACTTATATGTTGCTAAAAATATTATAACGAATTAACTTTGTTAGAAAAAATGCAAAATTTGTCTTCAAATGAACAGTGTAGACAGAATTCAGACGTATTTATTGAAATTTGGCAAGTTGATGAGAAATTGGTCAATTAACAAAAACTTATATATTGACGATTGTGCTTCCGCCCAGGAGTGGTAGCCAGCCTTTCTCGGGGTTGGAAATTCTTTTGCTCAAAATAATCACCGGAATCGATAGAGGAATAAATCTAAGCAACTTTTGCTCTGTAGAGTTTTTGTATACAAAAGTATGATCATTAGAAGACAACAACAGAACTAGGATCAAATATTAGTGGATAATAAACACTTGGAAAGGGTTGATACACGTTTAAGTACCTGAGATAACGAATTAGATATTTATGTAGAAATAAAATAAGAACGGTAAGATCAGCAACGGTTAAAATTCAAAAATATTTAGTCAAAGCCTAAACAATTACCAATTTTATAGGTAGTAACTACAGTCTGATACATTGATTTGTCATATTGGTACAATCTGATGTGCTAATCGTGTTACAAACAAGGAAGTGTTGGGAAGAGCTGGAACTCAACGTGAACTTTTACAAACTGTAAAATAAAGAAAGAAGAACCTCTCTGGGAGAACTGTGAGATATCACTTGGCTTATCGTATCGTTTAGCTGTCGCTATGACTTACAAAGAAGCGTGTCAGTAGCCGAGAAAAGATGCGTATATGGTCAGTATATATTTAGTTTTCTCAGTATTATAAGTACATTGTGTGTTAGAAGTATACAACTGCCTTTGTGTATGATAATATTACTTTTGTTAAATGTTTTATTCAATAAAAATGGAAGAAGCTAGTACTAACAGGGAGAGTATAAATGTGAAAAGTTCCCGCAAACAGTTAGGCCTTAAAGTTAAAAAATAGTGTCCCTTTTCCCTGCCTGCTTGGTATAATGGTATATTAGAGTTCGCCTCCCTCAAGCTTTTCCTTAAAATCCACAAGGATACTAAGTTCCTGTAGTTGGCTGTATACCATGTATCACAAAAAATTTATTAGAATCCGTTATAAAATGTATATAATTTAAAAACTCAATCGGGCTATAACACAAAACGTTTTCGGAATCCATGTTCCATTATCAGTATCTAGGTGTATATGTATTGAGCCGCTAAATATCTGGGTAAAAACCATATAAATAAACCATTTAAACATTTAACTTCTAACGGGTTTTTACCCACATATTTAGTGGCTCAATACATGTACACCTAGACACTGATGATGGAACATGGTTTCAGAAAACGTTTTGTGATATAGCCTGATTGGGTTTTTAAATTATATACCTTTTATAAAGGATTTTAATAAATTTTTTCCTTAAAATGTTTTATTCATCATCTTAGTTTTCTTGCTGTTATGTCAATATACTACGCTCCTTATGTTTTCACATCATCTGTTGTTCAGTTTCTGGTAAAATTTTCTTGCCTCTGTTGACTTACTTAGTTCTTGTAATTTTTGAAGTTCTTTATTCATATTTTGTTGTTTTAGATTTTATTTTCTTCTTAACTTAGTTATTTATATTCCTCCTCAGCTTCTCAGACATAGCTCCTCAGGTGCTATGCCCCTGTTCCATCAGTAAACATGATCTGTTTTTTCTTTCTATTACGTTACCACTCTTCATTTATGTTTTCATGTTATAGTCTATTTTCTAGTTTATTATTTCTATCTCTGATAATTTCCAGGTGTCTTTGTGTATATCTTTTTGGGCATAGTTAGAAGACAAAAGAAGAAGAATCAAAAATATTTAGAATTCATTATTTCTCAAGCACCAATTTTTTTATTTTTTTGGGCTGTGCTATCGTTTTCCAGTTTGGCGGAATTTTCATTTTGCAAGTATTTGCTTTGTTGCAGCAATCGTTGATGTAGCTGCTGATTCAGCTATTTGTTCTACTATTGTATCTTTATTTTGCTGTCCTGACATAATGTCAGGACATTGATTAATTCCATTAATACATAGACTAACTAGATTATGGTGACATTCAAGAGAATTAAATTTTTCTTAGAAATGAACTTCTTCTTTTTATATAGACATAGTTCTGTTTTTCAATGTGCCTCCAGTAAGTTATCGTTCCATCGTTTTCGTGGTCTTCCTACTGATCGTCTTCCTATTGGGAAACCGTCTCTTGCCGTCTTTACTACTTTATTTGTTGTCATTCGGCTTATATGATCGTTCCATTCTACTCTTTTATTTCTTACCCAGAATTTTCTCTACCTTGCATATATGTCGTATATCTGTACTTCCAGTTCTATCCCATAGCGTCTTACCATCAATTTTTTTAAGTGTTTTCATCTGTGCTGTTAAAATAAACTTCTAATCTTGATAATTGTTTATCGTGATAACTGATGAATAATCATGAGCGATTTCGGCTACTTTTGACCAGTTAAGACGCCTGATTTTGGATAACCAATTTCATTTTTGTTTGCTAGACTACAGAGAGGAACAATTAGAAGAACATAAAATAAAGGAAAAAATTTTCATAAACAAGATCTATAAAATCTAATCTAGTAAAATATTGCTCTTACCTGGTAATAATCAATTCTGATTTGGTCATCCAGTGAAGAACAATCATCTGATACACCGTTTTCAGTAATGATTAGTGGTATATCCCCATACGTTTTTTTCAACCAGTTTAGAAGTTTCCTCATACCCCATGGTACAATCTAAAATAATAACATTGAAATATACAGTACAAAAAAATTTTACCCTCGCTATGTTTTCACATAGGTCTTCTTTAAATCGACTTTCTCGTATCTCCTTGCGAATATGGTTTCGCCAAACCTCTAGATCACAAAACTTACAGATCGTACAGTCATACAAGGTAACGAAGATAAAATTTTAAAACAAAAGAAAAACTTACCCTTAACCAAGAAGAAGACGATTTGGGCCATTCCTCTTTCTGGTAGGTATCGACTTCCATATCTTCTTGCCAGCCGGAAACTACAGGAACGTTTCCTTGTTTTTTAGCCATATTTGCTGTGTAGTAATTCACACCAAGAAAATCAACAGCACCTTGAATGTCATCAATTTGTTCTTGAGTAAATTCTGGTAAACGAGATTGTTTGAAGCCTTGAGCGGCACTTCTTTTAGCTATCACAGTTTTCATGACTTCTGGGTAATCTCCGTTGACCAGTGCGTTGGCGTACCATCCATACTGTAACAGAGTATTATTAGCGTAGAAAATCGAGATCAACCTACAGGCTAAGTTAAGTGAGAGTAGCTCCGTATGGTGAAAATTTTACGCCTACAACGATAAAACGATATAAAGAATAATATGCAATGAGAAATGAATGAAAATTGTAAAGGCATATAAGAAAAAAATGTCAAATATAATGAACAGAAGATTAAGACAAGTTATGAAACCTTCTACAATAAAAATAATAATTTTTTTATTTATTTTTTTTTTGTGTTTCTTAAGATAAACACCCCCTTTTCCACTACGTTTTAAAATATCTTTAAAACTATTAACTATAGGCATAGGACAAATTAAAGTATATTGACTTAAGTTTGTAATAGTGATATAAAATACAGGGTAATATATTTAAAAATACAAAAAATTTATAATTGTTGACAATGATTTAAAAACTACGGCTGCAACAGGCTGTTGCTTTTATACCTCTTTTTAATTATGCAAGGCGGTGAACTTGTTACGATTTTAATTAAAATTTGGTTATAACTTTTTAAAAACCTAGAGTGAAAAGACTAGATAAAAGCCCAGTACCTTCTGGTCAATTACATATAGAGACAAGATATCAACAAAATAGCCAAATACATAAAAAAGAAAGATATAACACCAGCTTTTAGATCAAACAACAACTTTACCAAATATATAAAAAAAAAACAAGATCCAAAAGAAACAGCACACTAACAGTATTATATACAAACTTACATGCAGTGATTGCAAAAACGTTTACATCGGTCAAACTGGTAGAACCTTTAACAAATGTATAACAGAACACAAAGGGGATTTCAGCGTCAGAAAATCATATTATACGTACATATTTCACTTTCTAGATCATATTTATTCTTTTAATGACCAATTTCAAATGCACAATACTCACACTAAAGACCTTAAGCTGTTAAAATATAGGGAAATTAATAAATTCAGAAATACAGATATAATTCTGAATGACCAACTTAAAACAAACAGCTCATCTCTCGTCAACTTATTCGGTTAAAGAATATAAAGTTGCAACGAAAGTATTTTGCCTACCACATGGGGTAATAATACAAAGGGTAGAAACTTGGGGGGAGAAACTATTGGGGGTGGAGATAGGGCAAGCAAAATAATCGCTACTGATGCGAACGGCACTCAGGGTTTCGTAGGAGAGCTGGGGTCGTGGATAAGTAAAAGATAAGGGCATTGGAATGGGGGAACTACAAAAAAATGAAATAAAGGGCTCTTGGGATAAACAAAATAAAAATAAACAAGAAACACCTCAAGGAATTTAATATAAGGCGCCACTTGAGGTGCCTAATTATGCCTATTACAACCACTAGTAACTAGGGAAATAATTAGAAAACAAATCAAAACATAAAAAACATATCTTTTTCAAATAAGAATCAAAAAAGGTTTGGCTCAAAAAAATAAATAAAAAGTTAAGACAACAAAATTTAACATTTATTTATGTGTCACCACAAACAGTTACATGGAGAAATACAAAATTCAAAAACCTACATGTGTCATCCATTAACAAACTCCATTGCTACAAAACTTACAAAAATGGCATGGAGGTTAACCTTTAAAAAAAACAAAACAAATCAACATCAAAAATACTAAAACGAGCTGTCATAAATTAACATTAAATTTAAAAAAAAACTAAACACATAAATTGACAGCTTTACTCAAAACCTAAAATTTACAATTTTAAATGTCAACGAAAGCAATTATTATTTTATAAAAAAAATGTCTGTCTTTAGTTTAAAATTTGAATAAAATGTTACCTTAATTCACATGATCACACTTAAGTTTCTGAAACCATAACTGGAACCTGGAACTGAGGGCTCCACTCTCTCTGCATCACGAAAATCTCCATCTCCAACTGCCAAAAGCCTTGGATAAAAAACAGGAACAAAAAAAAACAAAACGAGGATGTCCTCCAATCCTCACTCAAAACATTAAGAATTGAAGCATTTACTGCCACAAAACCAATAACAAACTGCTACATATTCTTCATAACAAAAGACGAAAACAGAACACTTTACAAATTCGACGTGAATTTGGACATAACGCTGAACCGCTCTTGAAAGCTGCTCCAACGAGAGTGAAGAAATTCTATTAAAATTGAACGCATACATACAAACGCTGACATAACAAGACACCACGAAACGACGTACATATCCTTTTGCGACGCATTAACTTGAAAAGAAATTGCCGAAGTAAAATAAACAACTCTAAAATGGTTTATTTCAACTTGGCCGACCTAAGAATTAAATGAAAAGATATTTGGGTTTAAATACGTACGAAATATTTTTAGATCTATCAAAAATATATAAGGTGATTTTAATATTTCGTATACGAGGGGACTTCAATATACTTCAAAGAATCAATGAAATTGAAAATGCTACAAAGTGTAGACCCATAGTAAAAATGCATCACTTAAGAAAGGTACTCTATCAACACAGCGGTAGTGATAATAAATTATAATAAATTGTGTGGAAGTGTTGAAAACAAAAGTTTTCAGTGTTTTATTGTAAGACCTAATTTTTTCTTTGTGCATTTGATAAAATAAGTAGTTGCCATTGTCGTTATTTAAATTAATTTTGACTTACTGTAAAGTGCAGCATCCTTTCGGCGGCTTCTTTATCTTCCTCACTGTCACTGTCTGGTTCAGCCCAACCACTGTCAATAGTTATTCCGACGTGACCTAAAAATGATAAAAAACTGTAGAAAATTTTTAACTTGAGGTTTTAGTAAGTAATATCACAAAGTGCACCACAAAAGATCATCATGGATCATATGATCCATGATGATCTTTTGTGATCATATTGATCATAGATCATAAGATCATATGGCTAAGCTACTAAGCAAAAGCAGGAAAACTTAAGTGTGTATTGTGACCTAACTAGAAGAATATTTTTTGAGTAACAAAGCGGTCATTAGACAATCAGTATTATAGTCTTCTGTATTTGCATATCTTCATTTCTATGTTGTACAAACATCATCGTCTGTTATTCCTTTCTGTAATACTGACACCTTTTTGTCATAAAATACCTGATTGAACTCTATTGCTTCATTATCATCATAGTCATTAAAAAGCTCAGCAGATGTGTTGTGGTTCATCATTGTGATCATAATATTGTTCTAAATCTATTTTCTTGTGGATTTTAAATGAATTACTATTTCACTGGGAATAAGCCACAATAAATGGTTAAAATACGTTTATTGACGTTTCAATTTCCACTTCGGAAATCGTTCTCAAAATACAAACAATAAATTAAACAAATTTTGTTTTTTTGTTACTTAGTGAAAAATTCTTCTAATTTAATTTTATTTTACTTATTTATATTGACAATTCAGACATACATTATGCATTTTAAAGTAGACGACTTTAAAATGATACTGCCAATATTGTTGAGTTGCGCTCCTGGGACGATTTTACTAATAAGATAGTTCATTCGATTACATGAAATCAACTTTAACTTGAGAATATCCTCAGAAAAAAATCATAGCATGTAATTCGTCTTTAAAAAGACAAACAGATGTCATAATGACAGTAAAATTCTCCTGTTAGTGATTCCATAGTAAATTCTGAGGGAAAACCCAGGGAAAAAACCTCATAATACTATCCCGACATGTTAAGTATTTGGTCGTGCATTTAGTTTGCTATCAATAAACACCAAATTCTGATTTTATATGTTTCTTATTTAAAAAACATAAATGATGTATCCTCTATATGTTACTGACTTACTAATACTGATATTTTCTTATTAAACTTTCTCTTGCAAGATGGGTAACCAGATCCTACTACATTCTGTCGAGGAATTTGCGACACAATTGATCTCATTTAGCATAGTTAGAGCCGCTTCTTTGATTTTTCTTTTTTTACCATCCGTTGTTTTTAGGACTAAATTTGAATTATTCCATTGAACATTGTAACCTTTCTCGGATCATGGACAAACTGGTATTTATATATTCAAATGTAGTTCTAAAAAAAACGGATGGTAAACAAAGAAAAATCTAAGAAGCGGCTCTAATTATGCTAAATGAGACCAATTGTGTCGCAAATTCCTCGGCAGAATGTAGTACGATCTGGTTACCCATATTGAAAGAGGAAGTTATTAATAAGAAAATACCAGTATTAGTAAGTCAGTAACATATAGAGGATACATCATTTATGTTTTTTAAATAACAAACATATAAAATCAGAATTTGGTGTTTATTGGCGGCAAACTAAATGCACGACCAAATACTTACCATGTCGGGTTAGTATTATGAGGTTTTTTTCCCTCATAATTTACTATGGAATCACTAACAGGAGAATTTTACTGTTATCATGGCATGTGTTTGTCTTTTTAAAGACATGAAGAATTACATGCTGATTTTTTTCTGACAGATATTCTCAAGTTAAAGTTGATTTCATGTAATAGAATGAACTACCTTATTAGTAAAGTCGTCCCAGGAGCGCAACTCAACACTATTGGCAATATCATTTTAAAGTCATCTACTTTAAAATGCATAATGTATGTCTGAATTTTCAATATAAATGAGTCATATAAAATTAAATTAGAAGGATTTTTCACTAAGTAATAAAACAAAATTTGTTTAATTTGCTGTTTGTATTTTGAGAACGATTTCCGACGTAAAAATTGAAACGTCAATAAACTATTTTAACCTTTAATTGTGGCTTATTCCCAGTTAAATAGTTATTAATCATTGTGCTCGGATAGTTTGAGTAATGATAGTTCTCTGCTGGTCGCGGTCATCTGTTACATGTACTACTTCAGTATACTGTTTGAAAAAAAGCTTTTTTGTAATGTCTGCTCATCGGAAGATCTGCTTCGTTAATGTTGACTTTTAAGCCTTCCTTAAACCACCAATTGCTCCATTTTGTGATTACTTCGATGGGTATAATCAAAGAATTTAAAATTATAGAGTAAACTATGATTGCCTAGAGAGGTGCTGATTGGGTTTAATGTTATCTAGAACCGAGATATTCGTACGGAGCCGTTTATGGAATTCGACTCAGTCGTGTCCATGTCCATATTTCAAAAGAGTCTATGCTCGGCACATCTAATTCTTTGACTGTTCATGTTTCGTATGCATAGATAGATCAGAGTTAAAACGTGTCTGTTCTTGATTGTCATAGTAATGTGACGATCACGCCAGGCTTCATTTATTTCAGTCATTGCTGCTCTTGCTAATTATATGCGTCCCTATTGCTTAGGCAATCGTTTTTTATCCCTTTATCACACTTTTTTTAAACTCATTTTTAAAGAGTCAAAGCGTTAGGTGTTTAAAAGCGCTAAGCGACAGACAAACAACGTTTCGCGTCTCTCGCTTCATTGCTTCCACCTTTTGCTATCTTTTCAATTGTTGCTTTTTGCACATAACATATGAAGCCACTAGTAAGTGGATATAAATATATTAAAAAGCAATATCTACAAATTTAAATACGATGTGACAAACCATACCAAAACCGACATTTATTAATAGTTGAGAATAAGTTTATTCAAAAGATAGTTTTCCAAGCGAAATAATAGAAAGATTTACATATGTGGCGACAAACCATAAAATATATTGACCCGCAGATATACAAGAAACCTATCAGCTATCGATTATATATACCTGTGCCTAGGGAGGCGTGAAAATGCAATAATTATTATTCACGGAATTCGAGCATCCGACAACTGAATGCATAATTTAACATTACGGTAAATTGATAAAAAAAATAGCAAACATATAATATTACAATTATTTAGTTGTAAAATGAATCCACCTTGTTAATACGGGCATACACACGCAAGCGGAAGGGAACATAAGCAATAAATCTACACATTAAATTAATGGTAAAATTAGTAAAATTTACTTAAATCAGCACTAGAAATGCATGCATACAAGAAAATCAATAATAATGAAATCGATAATAATAGAAATATTCTATAAGCTACGTTAATAATTTCAAAACCCAAGGAAAATGTTGTATTAAAAAAAGTTCAGTTAAAAAGTTCAAACGCGACACAATATGAAATGGATCATGATAAAATAACTTTGCAACAATGTATGTATATAACAAGTATAAAAGTAACCAGCACTTGCAATGGAACAGTAAACAATGTAATTGGTGTATATAAAATGTAAATTTCCACGTGGAGTGAAGATGGCAGCGGAGCTACCCGCAGGTGGGACACAACACTATGTCGAAGCAGCTCAGGAATCAAAGTTGCAAATTGACATGAGTAGCTAACTTTGGAAGCGGCTGTATTCCGGAGATGCAGATGCGGCGCTGGGGTTAGCGCTGCTGTCGTTTATCCCTTGAAACGAGTGCTGAACTCTGCTAATTTAATTCTTACTACCCGCAATTAGATAGAATTGTCAGAACGATGTAGAAGTAATTTCTATTTATTATCAAATCAATGTCTATATTAAGTTGCGAAACTGCAATATTAATCATTTTAAGGTTTCTGGTTGTCACGGCATCTTCTACTACTTTCAATTATACCTTGGTCTTGGTCTCCCTCTTCTCCTTCGCTGAGTTGGCTTTTACTTCCATATTTTCAAAGGATATCTATCTTCTTACATCCGTCTACACTGGCTATACCACTTTAGTTTTTTTGCTTCTATGGTATCTAGTATGTCTATATCAACTTGAGGTTTTGCTCTTATTTCTTCATTTCAAGTGTTTTAAATCTGTTTAAGTTTTTTTTGTAATTTCCTATACCTCCTGTTCGTATATCGGAACTTTTTGACAATACCCTTGTAAAATCGTCTTTTAACTCCCATTTTGGCATTCCTAATCCAAGATACCGGGTGCAATTGTCTAATTGCAACTTTATCTGGTCATGGTTATGGTAGAAGGAACATCACAAGAAATATGGGAGACTGTTAAACATTGCGTAACAACACCAGTGGATCGCTCAAAGAAAAATAATCCGGTGAAACGGAAACACTGGATAACAGATGAAACTCTTAAAACAATTGAGAATAGAAGAAATCTTTATAAAAGTGGTGTACATAGTGAAAGGGAAAAAGCTAGTTTAAGAAACCTTAATAAAGAAATAAAACGAAGATGTAAGGCCGACAAAAAACAGTACTATCAAAGTATATGCAAAGAAATTGAGAGACATGGTCAGAATAATCAGCCGAGAGATCTATTTAGAAAAATACGCTACCTGACAAGAGACTTCAGAACCAGAACTTGGGCCATTGAAGATAACACTGGAACCCTGAGAACAAACAGAGAAGACATAGCAGAGACATGGAGATCGTATTGCAGGGACCTATATAAAGATGATCAACGCCAAGAGCTTGTTAGCCAAATCTCTGACGAGGTGGAAGAAGAACCTGATATATTCGAAAATGAAGTAAGACAGGCTATCAACAAGCTCAAATATAACAAAGCACCAGGTTCAGATATTATAACAGCAGAAATGCTTAAAGCCACAGAAGAAACCGGCGTAAAGTTACTTCATCTACTCTGTAACCAAATATGGCATTCCAAACAATGGCCTGAAGACTGGACAAAATCTACAATAACGACCATACAAAAAAAAGGCAGCTTCCATAAATGCGACAATTGTAGAACTATCTCTCTTATATCCCATGCCAGCAAGATAATGCTACATATGATCAATGAGAGACTGAAAACATTCCTTCAAAGAGAAATTCCACAAGAGCAAACTGGATTTACCAAAGGTAGAGGCACTCGAGAACACCTGCTGAATATAAGACAGATAATCGAGAAATCTAGGGAATTCAACATCCCACTATACATCTGTTTTATAGATTACCGTAAAGCGTTCGACAGAGTCAAGTGGAGACACTTATGGCGAATACTAAAAGAAGTAGGTGTACCACAACATCTAATTACGCTTATAACCGAACTATATGAACACACTACTGGATCAGTTAAAGTACTTGACACACTTTCGAACGAGTTTCATCCAGAACGGGGTGCCAGACAAGGATGTATACTATCTCCACAATTATTCAACATATATGGGAAGTATATTATGCGAAGAGCACTTGAAGGATGGGAAAAGGGCATCTCAATAAATGGTCATAAACTAAACAATCGAGACTGATCGAAAACGAAAGTCAAATATTTGCTCTGCAATTAAACATATCAAAGACAAAGATCATGATAGTGGATAGACTACACAACAATCATCCACACATAACCACAATTGACCGGTTCGAGGTTGTGAGCTCATACTTATATCTGGGATCATTAATCACAAACACAGGGTCATTACAAGAAGAGATTAAACGTAGATGTGATTTAGCAAAAGTTGCCACAGCAAAAATGACCAAAATATGGACGGACTGTCAAATTTCAAGAGCGACAAAGATGAGGTTGATCAACTGCTTAATATTCCCAATACTGACCTACGGATGTGAATCTTGGACTCTGAGACAATCGGAGAGGAGAAAGATAGACGCCACTGAAATGTTCTGTTGAAGACGAATGTTACGAATTCCTTGGACCGACCGTAGAACAAATAATTCAATTTTCTCCTCCATTCATCTCCAACAATTAAAATATTTTGGGCATGTTATGAGAGCAAACACAGAAAACATGGAAAGACTCATAATACAAGGAAAGGTAGAAGGCCGAAGATCACGAGGAAGATCCCCAACAAGATGGATAGATCAAATTACAGGAATATGCCAACGACCTATGCATGAATTAAAAGAAATGACCAGAGACAGAGATCTCTGGAGAAGGACAATACACGACATCACGTCGACCACTACACTCCCCCTGGGGGACCAGGATTGAAGGGAAAGATGGTAGAAGAGAGCAGGCCCATTTATGATTATGAGAATCTTTGTATTTCTGGGTAGCTCTTTTATTAATGATCGGTTTTATATTATTGTTTCTCTAATTTTTCCCCTACTACTAAATACTTTATTTCGTCAAAATTTATTTCTATATCAAATTTGAGATATATTTTTCATTAAGTTTTCTTACAATACGTCTTTGTCTTTTTCATCACGTGCTATAACCTGATCATGTGCAATTGTCAAGAACAACAGTACGTCCACTCTGCCATATTTGCTTTTAAAACTCTCTTAAAACTCTTTTAAAACTTTGTTGAGATTTATTTAATAAGTTTGGGACAATATAGCATCCTTATCTTAGTGCTTTTGACACCTGAAATTCTGGACAGAAGGATGGACCGGTATTAGCACAGCTTGTATTCTTTACAAATATTTTTTTCCAATGTTTGTAAACATGTGACTGGTCTTTTTAGAGTCTAGAAAGTGGTATGCTGTCGTATGCTTTTTTCTGCTCTTTTTTTTATCCGTGAACTGTGGAATACAACAGGTATTATCTACGCAGGATTGCCCAGCTGTAAAACTTCTCATGTCTTTAGTTTCTACAAACTGGCTTTCAATTCGGGCTAGTAAGATTTTTTCAGATACGTTTCTTGTTGAGACCAATAATTCCACGATAGTATTAATACCTCCTGTCACCTTTCTTGAAAATGTTAGTGACATAGGCTTCTCCAAAGTCGTCATAAAGTTATACACAGCTATACTTGTTTTCCGTTTTTCTAGTTCAGTGATAATTTCTAATTGATTCGTGCTGAGACCTTGGACATTCCATGTTCTGATATTCACGTATCTTTTCCGTCTATAAAAAATGTTAAAAAGTTGATAGCATCAACAATAGACGAACCGTAGACGAGACGCGGGTTAAATTTATTTATTTATAATTTGGAATATTAATTCATAAAGTGAAAAAAAAACTAGTGGCCTGTTGTGTGGCAGAGTCCAAAACTTTCTGGAAGGAATAGGAGAGTAAGGACAAAGAAGACCTGGGGAAGATACTTAGACAGGACATGTCGGTAATGAGGATTCACATTAATACAAACGAAGAGAGAAACATAAAAAACGTGAATCTCGCATATAGATAAAGCTAAAGATAATGTTGACGATGGGAATAGATGTCTTATAAAGCGAGAGGAAGCTGTAAACCAAGGGATCCTCATTTTTACGAAACTAAGAAAACACAACACAAGCATCGCAATTAGGCTGTCGAAGTAGTATAGCTCCTCTTAGGAATTACCTCTTACGACAGAGAATTCGACATGTGGAATATAAAATGTCACCTAACAACACTACAAACTAAAAGACGAAACAACAAAGAATTAGTAAAAACACCTTACCATTTTGTATGTGTCTGTAGCGTTGGTCGTACAAATGCCATACTTTGGCATGAGCTCTAATGACGTTATGGGCACACAAATATTCTCCAACACCAGGCGATAGAATAGCTGGTGCCATATTTCCATTTCCGTATCCTCCTTGGCAGGTTTGTTTTGGTTCGTTAAAAGTCAACCATAACTGAACATCCTCGCCAAAAGTTTCGAACAGGAATTGAGCATAGTCCACAAATCTATCGACGATCAGTTCATTGGTCCAGCCTCCTATGTTTTCTAAAGCTTGTGGGGTATCCCAATGGAACATGGTGACTAAGGGCAGTATGCCGTTATCTTTGAGTTCTTTAATCAGGTTTTTGTAATAGTTAACACCAGCTTCATTTACTTCATTATTAAATCCTATAGAAAAAGATATACAGTTAGTATCGTTGTATGTTTTTTTTATGTTACTTCTAAAAAAACTCAATGTGAAATTATAGAAATTAACTTAAATAAGTAACTATATAACATAAGTAATGCTTTAAAATACAGTTTACACTAAAATTTGTACCCGAATTATTTTATGGGTGAAATTATATACATATAATGAATATAATTTACCTGTAGGAAACACTCTGGACCATGAAATGGAAAAACGATAATGATTAACTCCCAACTCCTTCAATAAAGCTACATCCTCTTTATATTTGTGATAAGAATCGCAAGCTACATCTCCGGTAGCGTTACCGACAACTCGTGATGGAACCTCATGCGTAAGTACATCCCAAATGTTTTCTCCTTTGCCATCCTCGTTCCACGCTCCTTCAACCTGATAGGATGCCGTTGCTGTACCAAACAAAAAATATTCTGGAAAAGTTTTGTTGTTGAGATCTTGCCCGCATCTAAAACAAAATAATTATATCATTACGCAAACTATCTTTCTCTTTCTATAGTATTTTTCTAATCTTTCCAGTTCTGGCACAAGTGTTTGATTTTTACTTCGAACATTTTATTCAATATTTCGAATTGCGTCTTAAAATCTTCGAAGAGAAGCAATTTAAGACTTGTGTCCCAAAGTTTTTCTAAAGAATAAACATAATCAAATTACTTATTTACATTACCAAATGCTGGTAAGACAAATCAAAGCTTGCTGAAAATCCAACGCCGAAGAAAATTAAGTGTAAATTAAATTGTAGCGACAAAAGCTTCCCGCAGAGTTTAAGAAAAGAATTCATTGTGATTTTGGAGGCGATCCAGTTTAGGTTGTATCGATTGCTTACTTAGAATCACGACGCAACAAGTCGCTTACTTAAACACACCTTCAAATGAGTGTTTCTTAGAAGTTTATGGTGTAAACTACGATAGTTTTCTAAATTTTTAGTTTATATCTTATAAACAAGATGATGAAACATTTCGAGCTAACACAGTGTCTCTCTTCGATGGTTTCCTATGATAGCGAGTTCAAGTTTTAGCTGGAACCTTTGGAATGCAGTTTCTTCATTCAATCATCATTAAATGAACACGTATAAGACTACAGAAGAAAAAGAAAGAGAAAGAAACATCTAGAAGAGAAAGGACTACCAACGAACGCATCAGAGAAAAAATGCAAATCAAACGAACAATCACAGATGACCTAACAACAAAGCAACTTATCTGGTTCGGACACATACCTTTGTAATGGATGAACTACGAATACCAAAAGAAGTTTTAAAATGGCAACCAGAAGGAAAGAGAAAACGAGGTAGACCGAGAAAAAGTTGGAGCGAAGGAATAAATAAAGAACTGAGAGAGAGGACCATAGAAGAAGACCTATGGAACAACCGGACTGTGGCGATTGGAAGTCGAAAAACGGCGGAGAACGTTATAAACCGATAAGTAGTAGTAGTAGTAATAGTATAAGACTACAATCGAGTGAAACCAACAAAAATCATTCACAAAGTTTTTGTACAAAGAAACATGGACAGATGAAAGATGAAACTGAGTGAATTAACGGGTACGAACAAAACAAAAGAGAATAGAAGAGAAGAAAAAGAGAAGAACATACTGATGAACAGGAATGTGAAAATAATTTAAGGCATTAAGGATGTATTAAAGCGATCACAAGAGTACATCCAAGAACGGATTGAGTCACAAAATATAGATCTTCGTTTATAATCTGTTCAATTTTCAGCTCTTGATGGTAATAAACAATGGAAATGTAATTTTAAGAAAAAATTCGATATTGGTTCTTACTGGTCATGGAAGGTTCTTTTTTTTATTGATTGTGTTTTTTCACCACCTTTTCAATGAGCCTACTTATAAGCGCGTGACATAAAAATATCAGAGTTATTATAAATGTATATAAGCTTAACATTCAGCCCATTTTCAAACGGTTTGATACGGTCAAATAAAAATTTTGATAAAGTTTTAATTTTTTTTATTATATCTTAAAATGGAAGCCCCAAAGAATCGATTACGATCTGCTAAATACCTCTAGAGATGTTTGGATAAATACAGTTGTTCAAATAATCGTTCTCCGAGATAAACAAATTGAATAACTTAGAAACTATTTGGTCGAACTAGCTGAACTTTAGTAGACTTCAATAACTCATTAATTGCCGTAATTAATTATTAACATATAAATTACTGCAAAACTAAGCGGTTTTTGCAATTACCTCGGCCATTTGTGTATGGATGGATGTATTTTATTTTAGATACTCGCAAATTAAAGAACTTTTTTGGATCTACAACTTTTATTTGAACCATTTTTCTCTACATGTATGAGAAACATGTATTTTAGTCACAAAAATGATATTTTTCACTTTTATGATTGGTTAAAAAACAAGCAAAATCAGCTGTACATATTTAAGGATTTGACATCAGTTATCCGTCATATACCTTAAAATCTTCCTTCAAAATTCCGTATAAAATTTTTACATGAAATCGATTTCACGTAAAAATTTTTTCACAGATAGACATCCCAAAAGACCTCCCAAACGCTGGTGTACATGGTGTGTACGCTGGTGTAAGTTGGACATGGAATTCCAACTTAGGCTACAACTTTAAAAAAACCTTAAAACATTGTCTTAAAATTAGAAGAAGAAGACGATCTAAAAAGTTAGAGTGCATGGAAGAAGAAGTGAGGGAGTGATTGAAAACATTTTAAGAAGAGGTAAACTAAATATTATTTACATAATTCATGTTTACTTTACGTTAATCATATGCATCAAACAGCAGAGGAAGTGCTTTAAAACGTGAGATAGGAAAAATGAGACAGGAAGTAACCAATATAGCTAATATAATATAAGAATGGATTCTAAACAGCGTTTTTACTTTTTTATGTAGAACTAAAAACTAAATCGAACATTAACGACATAGATGGAGTAAAAGTACTCCAAAACATGATTGTATCCTTTGAACCACCACATCCTAAGCGTAATGTACTCAGATACCCCATTGTGCCAATTTCCAAAGCTACGGCCATACAAAAAAAAATTCTGCCACCTGCCTGTAATATGCGTAAAGTGTGCAAATAATCACTATACTTTAAACTGGCCACGCAAAGAACGCAGCAATAGCGTACAGTGTGTTCTTTGCATGGGGAACTATCCGGCCAACTATAACAGCTACAGCGTGTAGAAACAATTGCAAAAATAAAAGGAAAGACATTTAATATTTGGTTTCACGTATAGTGCGTCTGTATATCCGCTTATACGTATTTCACCCTAAAAGGAATCTTCGGAGCGGCTATTCACAAACAATATTTCCTATCATAATAGAAGCAACACTAAAATGGCTTCGATATGGACGCAATAGCGACATCTGGTAATAAATCCGTAAATAAAACCAAAGTTAGAAGGCACGAATTTAAGCAGAAATCTGAATTTGGTTGCGACAAATAGTTTAAGGACAAAATTAAAAATTTCCCCAACTTAGAAAGAAACCAGAAACCGATAGAAAACAATAATCCCTGGTGTTTCTTTCGCTCAAAAAACTTCAGATAGTTAAACGACTGAAATCACAAACCAACAAAGTGATGTAGGCTCAAACCATTTAACTACAATTGCCAACCTTGAAAACCTGCTGGCGAAACTAGTAGAGAGAATGGACGCTATGGTTAATCTCCCTATCACTATGATTTACAAAATGCACTAATGCAACACAGACTTAAAATAGCGGTTTTTAACTCAAATGGCATAACGCAGTATAAACAAGAAATCAAAATTTTTCTCGACGAGAAGGAAATTGATGTTATGCTCATATTAGAACCTAACAGACAAAAATTATATTAAAATTCCAAAATACATTGTTCACTACACAAAAAATTCAAATGACAAAGCACACGATGGCACAGCTATAATTCTCAAATCAAATATAAAACATCATGAAAATCAACTAGCATTATCATTATAGACTGGCTAGGCAACCTTACCTTATCTGCTGTCTACTGTCCTCCTGTCCAATCTATTAACGAAAAAAACTTTAATACCTACTTTAGTTCTCTTGGACATAAATTCATAGCAGGAGGAGAATTCAACTGCAAACATCACCACTGGGGCTCTAGGGTAATTACAAGGGATAGACAACTCCTGAAGTCAATAATGGGAAACAACCTAGAATGTATATCTACAGGAGAACCAACTTATTGGCCTACAGATCCAAATAAAATACCAGATCTCTTAGATTTCTGTGTGATTAAAGGTATATCTCTTAACTACTTAGCAATAGAATCATGTTGGGACCTTTTGTCAGACAATTCTCCCATTCTAATTGACCTCTGCTCCAAAGTCATGCTCAAAAGTAAGCCTCCAGTCCTAACCAATAACCAAACAAACTGGAACAAACTTCAAAGTGCACTTATAGAACAAATATCAATGAACTTGCCACTCAAAATAGAAATACAAATTGAAAACATACTGTACAATATCTTAGTACTTTTATTCAAAAGGCGGGATGGAGTGCTATTCCTGAATAATATGGAATCCTGGACAATATGGAATGAAAGCATAAATTGTTCTCTGAGTGCAAAAAACTTTATTGAAGAGAAAATAAAACTTGAGAAAGTGGCAAGACACAAACGCACCTATTGACGGAGCAAACCTAAATATAATTACCAGAAGACTTAAAAATCTGTTGAAATAAGGGGATCCAAACTTATCTGGAAAATCTGATGACGTTCAAAGATCTCTTTCCTAACATCTCATAGTAATCCAGTAATAGCGTTAGATATACTGTAAATACATCGAAACAAAACTAATGAATGTTTTAAACTCTGAAGAATTAAAGTATAACCCTTTAAATCTACACATATTACATTTACTCTAAGAGAAGGTATATGTCCACAAGTTAACCTCGATGGATATCGTTTACTTCAAAAAATTTGACGTAAAATATCTGTGCATTCATCTGGACAAACGATTAACATAGAAAAAACATATATGAATGAAAAGACTACAACTAGAAATTTTATACAGAAAACTCTACTGGGTTATGAAAAAAAAAATTTACACCTATCGATCGACAACAAGCTGCTGATATACAAAGTAATAGCAAAAGCCGTTTGATCATACGGTTCGCAGCTCTGGAGATCAGCTAGCAAATCTAATGATGAAACTGCAAAGCTTTCAATCCAAAACTATAAGAACAATCACTAATGCCCCTTGGTATATCCAGAATTACGCCTTACATAGAGATTTGCAGGTAATAATAGTCTCTGAAGAGTGCAAAAGAATTTCTGAACAATATCAAAACAGGTTGCCCGTGCATCCAACACTGGCATACAATATTTTCAACAACCAACAAGAGAAGAGATAGCAATATGATCCCTTGGATCTACCAAACCGTTCCTGGTAGTGTCTACAGTAGTGGAAGCTACGTCTTCAACATCGCCCAGCCATTGGAATCTGTGCCTCTTTTAGTATTCGTGTTGGCGTAACTCTGTATGTGCGCATCCCACCGGTAAACAAATCAATATTTGTGTTCTGATGCTTTGGTCACTGGACCTTACATCTCTCTGACATTATTAAGACAAACAATTTTACTTATTGTTTTTATTGTGAAACAGATTGTAAAAAATCTTTGATGTTAATAAAGAAACGAAACTTTACGTTGATTATAAATTCTAAGCCCCGCATTATTGTTACCTAACTTGTTGCATCATAGCTAAGAACTATAAAGTTTAAACATGTATGTTAGTTGTAATTGTAAAAAGTATGGTAATATATAAATTAATAACGTATGTATAAGATCAACTTATCAACAGTGTATAACTCTCTGCCTAAAATACGTAAAAACTCATTTAGCGATGTAACTTACGTTGCCGATATCACAAAAACAGACAACACCCAAATGCTTTGCCGAAACATTGTTGCTACATTTGCAATTAATTTGAAAACCACCTTCAATTATATAGCTAATGAAGCAGATAATCACATGGTCTTATCAAAGATAAAAAAAAATACTTAAAAACATTGACACGTGCTACACCTAAGACATAATATTGTATTTTTCGTATTTTTGCAATTAGTATTTAACGAACCACTTTAGATATTTTTAGATAATACCCAGGGTTTACGTCATACTTTCTTTGTTAAAAAAACTGCCTCTTTTTGTGCTTTTTTTGAGTAGCAATTTAAAAATAAAATTTTCCCACTGATATTATCTTTGTTTCCGAAGACAATATGAGCATTCAGAAAGACAGGTCAATTTTGTTTTCAAGTAGTATTAGACGCTTTTTAGTCCTCGAGGTTCAACCTTCTAGCACGGGTTGTCACCCTGAATAATAAGAACGAATATAGTCTACACGCTACAAGTTCGATTTTAGTTATATCATTGTTATAACAATCAAAATTAGGCAAAAAAATTAAAATAAAGTATTTATCTTAATCATTGTTCAAAATTTTTCATGTTCATTTTAAAATTGAACTGCATCTAAGCCAGTCGTTTAAATTTTTTAAAACTCTCTTTCTTTCTATACTCCGTTCTCCTTTTATCTTTCCTTATATTATCAATCTTAACATTTGATATCATTGCTCCCTCACTACGTGTCCTAGATATTGTAACTTTCTTATTTTTATTGTGTTTATTATTTCGTATTCTTTGCCCATTTCTCGCAATACTTCCATGTCATCTGCGTATGTTATGTTGTTAATACTTTCTTCGTTAATTATTTTTCTTTTAAGTTAATTATAATGGGAACATAATAATCCTTGTGTCTAACTCCTCGTCTGATTTCAATTACTGAACACGGTTCGTTATCTATTACAATTTGTACTATTGATTTCAGTTTACGTTTGTTATCATTCTTAAGTCCCCTTTGTTTATATTTTTCATCTTTGGAATTTGAACTAATTTTTTATGTATCAATTTGTCCAATACCTTCTCACAATATACATATCAAACATGCACATCCACATTCATATCCACGTATCTTTAGGCTATTAAAAGCAAATTACGCGTCTCTGGTTCCTAGTCCGTTTCTGAACCCAAATTGACTATCATCTGTTACTTCTTCCAGTTTTTTTATTTATACAATCATGTATTAGTTTCAAGAATAAATTGAGAATTTAACTTAATAATGATATGGTTCTGTATTCACTGCAGTCTTTAGCGTTTATATTTTTAGGGATAGCGCAAAAGGTGGAGAGTAACCACTATTTCGGTATATGTTCTGTTTTGTATATTGTGTTAAACAAGTCTACTATTTTGTCGTAAGATTTCATCATTTATGCATTTTAAGCTTTATTAATTACTGTTAAACTGGGAATAAGCCACAATTAAAGATAAAAATACGTTTATTGACGTTTCAATTTCCACTTCGGAAATCGTTCTCAAAATACAAACAGTAAATTAAACAAATTTTGTTTTTTGTTACATAGTGAAAAATTCTTCTAATAATTTAATTTTATCTGACTCATTTATATTGACAATTCAGACATACATTATGCATTTTAAAGTAGATGACTTTAAAATGATATTGCCACTATTGTTGAGTTACGCTCCTGGGACGACTTTACTTATAAGATAGTTCATTCGATTACATGAAATCAACTTTATCTTGAGAATATCCGTCAGAAAAAATCATACCATGTAATTCGTCTTTAAAAAGACAAACACATGACATGATGACAGTAAAATTCTCCTGTTAGTGATTCCATAGTAAATTATGAGGGAAAAACCAGGAAAAAAACCTCATAATACTATCCCGACATTGTAAGTATTTGTTCGTGAATTTAGTTTACTCTCAACAAACATCAAAATTCTGATTTTATATGTTACGTTATTTAAAAAACATAAATGATGTATCCTCTATATGTTACTGACTTACTAATACTGGTATTTTCTTATTAATAACTTCCTCTTTCAATATTGGTAACCAGATCCTACTACATTCTGCCGAGGAATTTGCGACACAATTGACCTCATTTAGCATAATTAGAGCCGCTTCTTTGATTTTTCTTTTTTTACTATCCGTTTCTTTTAGGACTACATTTGAATTATTCCATTGAACCCTATGTTCATTATCCCATGCGTGTTTACAGATTTGAGATCTATCAAATTCTCTATTTTTATTATTAGATTGATGTTCACGTATTCTAACATTTAATGGCCTTGATGATTCACCTAAATAAAACTGATCGCATTCACAAGGTATTTTATAAATGCAATTCTTTGTCCTTTCTTGTTCATTGTTAGGTTTGGTTTTGGACAAAATAGATCTCAACGTGTTTGTTGTTTTGAATGTTGTTGAAATGTTGAATTTATTTCCTATCCTTTTAAGTTTTTCTGATAATCCTTTTATGTACGGTATTGTTATTTTCCTCATATTATTCCTTGTGTATGCTGTATAAATGGTGTATGGATCTGGTATTAATAAGAAAATACCAGTATTTTCTTAGTAGTAAGTCAGTAACAGTAGTAAGTCAGTAACATATAGAAGATACATCATTTATGTTTTTTAAATAACGTAACATATAAAATCAGAATTTTGATGTTTGTTGAGGGTAAACTAAATTCACGAACAAATACTTACAATGTCGGGATAGTATTATGAGGTTTTTTCCCCTGGTTTTTCCCTCATAATTTACTATGGAATCACTAACAGGAGAATTTTACTGTCATCATGTCATGTGTTTGTCTTTTTAAAGACGACATACATGCTATGATTTTTTCTGACGGATATTCTCAAGTTAAAGTTGATTTCATGTAATCGAATGAACTATATTATAAGTAAAGTCGTCCCAGGAGCGCAACTCAACAATATTGGCAATATCATTTTAAAGTCATCTACTTTAAAATGCATAATGTATGTCTGAATTGTCAATATAAATGAGTCAGATAAAATTAAATTATTAGAAGAATTTTTCACTATGTAACAAAAAACAAAATTTGTTTAATTTACTGTTTGTATTTTGAGAACGATTTCCGAAGTGGAAATTGAAACGTCAATAAACGTATTTTTATCTTTAATTGTGGCTTATTCCCAGTTTAACAGTAATTAATTTACAATGCCACAAGAAAATAGCTTTAGAACAATATTAAGCTTTATATTGGGATTTGGTCTGGATCTACTGTTTTGCTTTTTTTGCTGTTTGTTAATGTCATTTTAATCTCCTCTTTTAATATCTTTAAAACCACCACCATCCTCTAACTACCATCTTCTACTTCCACTTTGGTTGGTATCTAGTTGGTGTCAGGAATTCTTTTTGACTTTTGCCTATTTCTGTCTTTATTTATAACTATTTTGTATCTGTTTTAGTCGTTAGCAGAATTTGTTGTTTATCATCAATTAATCGATTATTGATTTAATCTGTCAGACGTTGACTTTTAAGTGAGTTCTTTAATTTACTTGTATCGATGTGTTATGTAGTTTATCTCTTCTCTTTGTCTTTTAACTCTCTACAGATGTTGTAATTCGTCGGTTTTAATTGTATCTTTTGTTACATTCTTTCCTTTATCGCCAAACCAATGATTTTTACGGGCACAAGTTTCTGTTCTTATTTAATCTTTTACTGCTGTTTCAATATTTTCCTTTGTTCTGATCCTGTAGGAGTCTATAACTTTATGGCCTTGTTCATCTTTATTTGAATTACTTAGTCTGTTTATGATGTTTTCCAAGTACCACTCTGGAACTATTGAGATCACTAAGCAATGATCCTTGATGATCCAATGATGTTAGTACCTCTATACCTTCAACAGTCTATTACGTCTGTTCTGTGTTTTAAATCTAATAAGATCTGACAAATAGAAAAACATGACAGCTACTTAATATCTGGAAGAAGTGCCATATAAGGCAACAAAGGCGTTGACATCAATCGAGATAAATTACATTTTACGCTAAATTAAAACTAAAATAATAAAAAACTTGGTATCTACTTAATTAATAACAGTAGCTTATCTAGAAATAGAGATGTTTATGAAATATATTTATATACCTAGGACAGAAAAAAAAATAATAGAGCTCATCAAATCTATGATGCTTTGGGTTGGAGAGCGTATGAATTCTAAGCGACATTGTTAAGATTAATATTCCAATTCCATTAAAATGTAAATCGGTTTTTGAGTGTACGTTGCTTATAATGTTTTACAGAAACGAATAATTCCTTTTTTCTTTGAGTGCCTTGTCCAATTTTCAAACGTTGGCGATAATATTGGCAATTATAAATTTGTTTACGGCAGCTCGGAACAGATTAGCAGATGTCCCTTGATACTACTCTTCATTGTTTCATTGCTTCCATGTTTTCAAACATTGTATCGTTTTTAGTGTCATAAGAGGGGTGGGGGGGGGGTAGATTGGCCGTGAACTTACCACGCCGGCCAGACGGGTTGGTAAGTGTGTTTCAGCCGCCCACTCTGGGAACAGAAGCTGTTTGCAGCCGCCCACTCTGGGTCAGACGCTGCTGTTGTCGCAGTATCACAGCCGCTTAACTCATAATGTGGGTAACGCCTGTGAGTATCTGGAATTAAGCCTACAGAATTTTTACTTCCCATAGCCCTAATCCAGTAATGACATTACTGCTGCCTAATGTCATATCCTCAGTTGATCCGCGGGTACTTATTTGCCAATGCCTTATTCGTACCTGTCCTGCATATCTGCAGGAACTTTCCCTATCAGCCATATGGGACGTGCCGTGTCGAGGTTGGGACATCCCCCGTCCAGTCTGTCTTCCGTGAAGTACAGAAGAACCCCTACTCAGTTCAGAGCTCCTCCTTCACGAAAGCTATGACCGACACGGGACAAGCTATGTTTAGTCCATTGGAAAGTGGCGCCCATACAATGCAAAGAGATCAAGAGGCAGACCACAGATGAGGTGGAAAGATGACATCAGGAAACAAGGAGGTCACACATGGCAGAGAACAGCTCA